GAAAAGAAAAGAAAAGAAAAGAAAAGAAAAGAAAAGAAAAGAAAAGAAAAGAAAAGAAAAGAAAAGAAAAGAAAAGAAAAGAAAAGAAAAGAAAAGAAAAGAAAAGAAAAGAAAAAAGGGCTTATCTGCTGACTTTCCAAGTTTCACCAGGGCTACATTGAACTGCTGTAAAGTGGTACCTCTCTGCTGGAGCAGAATGTGAATGAAGGACATTCACTCTCAATTTTATGTAGCTGTGACTGCACACTGCAATTTAGGGTCATATATTGACGTGGTCTCTGCTTCCAGGCCACAGAGATGCCTGAAAAGTATGAATGTTTTCTAAGAAATGCTTTTTTTCCAAGAACTGAAAAATTGAGGTTTCAGTCCAGGACTGCACAAACATTAAGAAAGCATCCATCACCGTGGTTGGGTCTGAGTACTGGATGTGAAATGCTCAAGTTCACCCCAAACAGAACTGAACTGAGGTCAGTAAAAGCTGAAGTCCTTCGGGCACAGCTAAATTGTTTTTGAAATATTTCATTTGCCAAGGCTGAAATTCCCTGAGAGATTCTCAGCTACAATTCAACAAGTCGAAGTTTCAGCAGTGACACCATTAACAGCCCACACAATAACTTTAGGGGTAGTCTTCAGGTTCTTTTTTTTCTTTCCCATTGTCAGGAAGAAGGCTGTATTCAAAAAAGACAATTCTTAAATTCAAACTATTTGGCAGCAGCCAGTAGCAACTTCCTCACAAGAAGTTTAATGTGTCTTCATTCAAGCCTTTAAAGGACAGTGGGAATAACTCTGCATGAAGAGAGAAGTATACCAGAAGCGATTCCCACTTAATAATGTTTATAGTTCAAGAGATTTGTTGCATGGGCCATTCAGAAAATAAAATGGACCAGAAATGTAAGTCAGCCTAACGCTGTGTCATGCTGTAATTCTCTTTCCAGAAGGATCAGCACAATGCTTCGGGGTACACAGCCTCTTCTGAACGCGCGCCCAGGAACTCTCAGCTCCTTCAGGGTAATCTGTGCCCCTGAGATGGGAGCACAGTATTTGAGTTTTCAAACCAGTGACAAATTATTCTTTTTTTTTTTTTTTTTTTTCTGGTTTTGATTTTATTTTCAGCCTGGGATTGGATACAAGTCAAGATGGAACTGGAGCAAATGTGAAAATTGCTGCAAAGAACTAGAGTTTAGTGAGAAAATAAATGGCATTTCTGAAGAATAAAACCACATCCACCAGTGCCAGGATATCATTCCCACATAGCAGAGCCCTTACAGGCAGAAAAATTGATGTTGGTAATTTACAGCTCATAGCATCATCAACTCTAGTTATAATCACTCAAAATTTATGTCATTGTGGGTGTAAAATTAATCCTTTAAAATAGAACACAACAGTAAAGCTAGAATTAAAAGAAAACTATCATTCAGTCTGCTTGTGACATGCATTTGGACATGTATTGTGCCATGTATTGCACCAAGCAGCTGTGTTTGGTCCCAGAAAACACCCCCTGCACACCCAGGTGCCAGGCATGGTCGCCCTGAGCCTTTGGGCTGTGATCCTCATCCCTCTGGCTGCAGCTCCCTGTGCACAACAGGTCAGTGGGATGCGGGCTGCAGTGCGCGCGGTGCAGCTGCGGCCAGAAGCTGCCCTTCTCCTTCCGTTGGCTGCACCCTGCTCAGCAACGCCCATATAGGATGCATGGGGAGCTCTGCTCACCTGCCCACCACACCACAAACTTTTCACCAAGTTGTGCAGCTGCTTTGGTAGAGAGAGAAGCCCTCCATCCTCTCATCTCTGGCTGTTAAAATAGAGAGGGTTTGGGGGAGCAATTTCAAATGGGTGGTGTCTTTCCTTCAGCCATCCAAGTATGTCAGGAAATGTTTAAGAATCACCAGGAAGATAAAATCACCCTGTGGTGACTCAAGGTCAGACCCCTCCATCCTCTAGCATAACAACTGCAGGAAAATCTCTGAAGACACACTTGAGACAGAAGTTGCAATAACACATGTTGGAAGGTGCTGGAAGCTGTCCTCCCAGAGCAAGCAGAGGGGCTGGGTTACAATCTGCAGTGTAGAGCTTCACTTGTTAACTTTTTCTCCCCATTGTTTTTCAAAAAGCAGTATTTGCGCAGTCACACCACAGCTACATTTGAGAGCAGCACCGCAAATGATATACGATGCAATTTCCACTGGCTGTACAGCCGTACCCATGCTCACGAATGCACTGCACAGGACATGCTTGTATGTTCATGCACGCTTTTGCACTACCACTTCTAAGGGCCAGCCTTCTTGCACAGCCCCCTGCTGCTCTGCTCCTTGCTACTGTGCAGCTCCTTCAGCCTGAAGGCTCCTTCCTGCATCTCACATCAAGGCTCTGCACATCCCAGAACAGCGCTTGGCAGCCCCTGCTCCTGTTGAATTGAAAGAACATCACCCCTGAGCTCTCTTTGCACACATCTCTGCAGCATCAGGTGCACACAGAGCATTTTTATCAGTGGAGATAACAGAGAGAAATTTTGACTCAGCCTCTCAATCCCAACTGTTACCAAAGAAAAGAACAAAATTAGGAATCGGCATCAGGAACCTGTAGCACCCTTCAACTTTGCAAGCACTTGGATAGGAACGAATTGCTGCCACATTAAGGCTAAAATGCACATGCTGAGTTACTGTAGGCAAGATCTGTAGTATATATATATTCACACACACTCATGCGTACATTAGTGCTTCCTTACTTAACAGAGATCTTCATAGAATTACGGAATGAAGACATACCTACATCTGTGTAAAAGTATTAGAGATGTTCACTCAGAAAGAACAGTTCTATTTGCACCCTTACGATTTGCTTTCAAATTTTAAAAATAAGGGGAATTACTCTCATGTGACACTAATTGTACAGCCAGTGTCAGCTTTTAACTTCTAACTGAGGTTATTCTTGATTTAGATCAACGGATGTGAGAAAAAGATCAGATTCTGAGTGTCAGACAGATGGTAGCCGGACTTGTTGCAAGAACACATATATTCAGCATCACAGAAAAGCTTCTCAAAAAGATTTTAAAAAGGCACCAAAACAACAAAGCACCTGAAGAGCGATGTGTTGGAGTCAAGAACGAAAAGATGAGAAACAGATTCCTTTCTTGTACCAGGATGGCACCATTGTAACATTTCCAGTGTGAATGCCACTGCCTGATGCCAAAATGTGCAAGGTAGAATGAAGCAGTAGTTACAGTGCCAAGATAATAAAAGGAGTTTGGGAACATTCTGTATCATATGAATCACATATTGAAATCAACATAAAGAAAGATTGATACAGCGGTAAAAATTGTTACAGTTTTCTGCTAAGGAAACCAGTGGTAACCGTTTCTTGGGACATGGAGGTGAGGTGGGATGAAATTTTTGCATTCTGAGCTACAGTTTCCCCAGGAGCAGGAAGGAAGGAGGACTCAGACTGACCGAAGTTTTCTCATATCTCAATTCACAGAACGTGTGTATTTTTTCAAACAAATTCAACAATGAATGAAAGCTGTAAAGCTGTGGTTGTCTTATTGCTTCAGGAGGTAACAGCCGAAGGGAAAATGCAAACACTAAGGTTATCTAAAAATACTGCACTGAGCTACTTCAGAATACTTCCAATATTTCGGGTAACACATGCTCTAATTATACCCCTGCATCATTATCAAATTAAATAGCTTCATTTTTCGGTACTAAAACAAGGCAAGTCACCTGAGATACCATCTATTAATTTCAGCATGACAAGCCCAGGTTCCCAGTGGGGAGGTAACAAATCAATGGGAAAGAGGAGTCTTGGCTGGAAGCGGACGGCTGCCAGCTCGGTCATGCACCGCTAACTTCCCCCATTAGGCAGCCTGGCTGCTCGGATCCAGCCTGTTCGAGCAAGGAAACAGAAAAGAGGAATGAAAAGCAAAGCACACCGACAGCAGATGGTGATGAGACTCAGAAGTCATCTCCAAAGCTGAGTAAGAAAAAGCCAAAAGGATACTGCAATGCCACCAAATTCAGCAGATGTGACTGCCGTGCAGATTAGGCTACTTGTTGCAGTCTACATTCTATACCTGAGCACGTTAAGGTATCTCAGCAAGCAGCAAGCGTTCCCTTACAGCTGGAACTTCCTGAGGAAAATGTGGTGATGGTCACAGAGACAGGACTGTAACACAGTGCTGGAGAACGAGCTCCTATTGCACACACAGCCAGCGCAGCTCCGGAGCCGCGGACTGCAGTCACCCACAGCAGTGCCTGCACACCTCACACGTTCAGCACCAATTCTGTTCTTTGTGGCATACGCACTGCTTCGCTGCCTCTCAGCTACAGGTGCAGCTGGAGACAAAGCCATCAATCACAGACCACAAAGCACCCTCAGACTGCTCCCTCTACAATGCCAGAGCATCGGAGAGGCACAGAGAAATCTGTTGCTGCAATATTTCTGAGCGGAACACAAAAACTTTCTTTTCACCTTGTTCAGCAAGGAAAAGCCCTACAAAAAAAAACCCTGCCAACGCAAGAAGTTCACATCTCCTCTGTGGTAAAGAACGAGCATACTAACCATACACAGACGTGCATAACTTTTCCTACAGAATTTCTGCTAACACCAGCTGGCAATAAGCACTTTTGACATCAGATCCTAATGCCGAGAACTCGGCTGGAAGAGTGGAGCGGGCCAGCGTGTGCCTCCCGCCGCGGCTGCCGAGCCCTGTGCAGCATCCCGCCGCCCGAGCGGGCCGGGCAGAGGCCGGGGAGCTCCGCACATCGCGCTGGGGCTCGGGCGCGGAGCCGGCCCCGCGGAACAGCCGCCAGGAACCGCGCGTGAGGAGGCCGGGCGGATGCAGAGCACTCACCGCGGGGGCCGTCAGGCGGCGGATGCTCTCGCCCAGCGAGTCCAGGTTGACCCGCCGACGGCGCGGAGCGCGGCGAGCCCCGGCGCTGGCCGCGGCGACGGCGGCGGCGGCGGAGGCGAGGGGTGGCTCGGCGGGGCCGGGAGGGCTGCGGCTGCCGTTCCAGCACAGGCGGGACAGCGGACACTCGCCCTCCTCCTCGGGGCTGGTCTCCGGACAGTCGGAGCCCAGCGAGCTGAAGGACTCGGAGGAGATCTTGCGGCGGGACATGGTGCCGCGGGCTGGCGGGACTCAGCGCAGCGGCGGGCAGCGCGGGGCCGCGGGGCCGCGAGGGCGGCCGCCTCGCATGGCCGCGGAGCCCCTCGGCGGGGGGCGGCGGCGGAGGCGCCCCGGGGCCGTTCTCGGCTCCGCGCTTCGCCGCGCCGCTCCGAGCCGCGGGTGCTCGCCGGGAGGCTTTAAAGCGGCGGCGGCGGCTGCCCTCCTCTGCCTCGGCCGCCCTCCCTCGCTCTCCCCTCCCCCGGCTCCCTCGCTGCTTCGCGGGAATCACGTGTTGTTTGGAGCCCTTTCCTCCTCCTCCTCCTCCTCCCGCCTCTCCCCTCCCCTCTCGCCGCCTCTCGCACGCCGCGGCCCGGCAGCATCCCCCCTCCCTGACCGCGCTGCTCCGCGCTCCCTCTCCGCGCTACGGGGATGTCCCCGCGCTACGAGGGTGTCCCCGCACCGCTCCGGCCGTGCCCGGCCCCGCCGCCTCCGGGCCCGTGGCGGTGCTGGACAGCTCCCTGAGCCCGGGCTGCCGGGAAGGGCGGCCCTGAGCGCCCGCCGCCGGAGAGCTTCACTGAACGGCACCGCTCAACCTCGGGGAAATGGATGGTATTAAAAATAGGAGAATGCTAAAGGGCTGCCGTCAGTTTTCAGAGGAAAAAGTTCTTTTCGGGTCTGACGTTGTGGGTCACATCCAAGAAAAGGAACTGAACGCATTCTCTATGTTACAATCCAGCTAAAGGAAAAAGGAGAGGAGTGCAGGAAACAAAGCAGAGGAGTTTGGATGTAGGATGACACCCATAAGGCAGTGTCAGGGCTCTCTTTTCCCAGCCCTCCCTGCCCACACAGCTGGGGTGAAGGAAGCGTGAGAGTACCGTGGCAGCATGGATAGACCCATGTACTGCGGAAAGACCAAAGGAAACGTGCCCTCGGTGGTAGTGCTTCATCCAGCCATCAGGAAAGAAACTTGTCATTAATTCATCTTCTGTCAAACAAAGCTTTCTTTAAAAGCAATCCTTTTAGGATCGTTCTTCCCCTGCCTGCCTCCTGTGTTATAGTATACATTTTACCACCTCATCCACTGAAATATCTGAGTGCAGCCTTGATGAAAACCCACCTGAGAGATTGAGAAGACACCCACAGGCCTGGAGCAGCTTTGGGGGATAGCCCAAGGCAGTCCACACTGCACACCCACGTTTGGAAGGCCAGGCAGGCGGCTCTCAGAGAGGACAAGGCTTAAATCACAGATTTCAACAGGGCATTCCTTTCAGAGCCACCGTCTCTCGGCTCACCAGGTTTCTGTTTCAATTTTCTTATTTATCTAGAAATTTATAGAGGAAGAGAAACAGTGGAGCTCCTTTTGTCATGGCACAGTTCTTAAATCTCTGCAGCTTGAAGCCTGTGGCTTGAAAGGATGTATCAAAAAGCCAGGGTGGTCCGTGCTGCCTTCTGTTGTCTTATAAATAGTACACTTGGGATGCAGAATGACTTTCTTTTGCAGCCCTGGTAATTCCTTCAGCAGCACTAGGGCGGGAATCTGAGATGTCTTTGCTTGAAAGTTAATTCACACATGAGCCTCCTCTGTCTTTCCTCCTCTCTTGTTAATAACAATATACTTCAGTACATAGAGCACAGAGAGAAGTCAGGGGGCATGGTTTTAAATTAAGACAGGGGAGGGTTAGGTTAGATATTAGGAGGAAGTTTTTCACACAGTGAGGGGTGACGCACTGGAACGGGTTGCCCAAGGAGACTGTGGATGCCCCATCTCTGGAGGCATTCAGGGCAAGGCTGGATGTGGCTCTAGGCAGCCTGGTCTGGTGGTTGGCAACCCTGCACATAGCAGGGGGGTTGAAAGTGGATGATCATTGTGGTCCTTTTCAACCCAGGCCATTCTATGATTCTGTGATTCTATGATTCTGTGATTTTCCCTTCTTCCCTCTACAGAAATGTTCACTTTGACAGCTGCTGTGCAGCCCTCCTGCCCTCTGTCCCAGCTCCTGCCACTGGGGGCAGTCACTCGTTTAGGCTGGCATTTTTTAGAGCTGTCATACAATCATACAACCATTAAGGTTGGAAAAAAACCACTAAGATCATCTTGTCCAACCATCAACCCATCACTACCATTGTGACTATTCATGTGAGCACAGGGTGCTCTGAGTTAAGGTGTTGACATCCTCCAGATGCTTCAGGTTCCATTACACTTATTTCTTTCTCATAGACTGTATTGCACAGTCCACAGCAAGGCAAACTTCTGCTAGTTCTTGGCAGATGCAGAGGCAGTGACAACTGAGGAAGATGCACAAAGCTCAGGGTTGGAAATGCAGATGCGTATTTATGATTGTAAACTGCTGCAATACCGAAGTATCAAGTGGTTCCTTATGCAGCACCTCAGGATTAGGGAAGCAACATGGTTATGGGTGCTTTTGCATTTTATTCAGCCGCGGGGAAGAATGCTTTTGAGAAGACAAAGCTGACATTTTTAACCATCCCATTTCTACTTTTTCTGGGAGTAAAGTTTAAAGTAGTATTTCCTGAGGCAATTCGTCATCGGTGTGTGACAGCATTCTGAGTCCCCTTTGCAGTATTACTGATGACTTCCCTCACAACACTCATGGCCATATTACTTTTACATCTGTGATGTAGTGACCCTGAAATGTTTTTCTTTGGTGGCTGTTCCTGATGTGGGTATTATTATAACCAAGTGCACTCAAGTACCAAATCAATTCATTGTGAAAATATAAAAGACATTTCCCTTCTGCATCTGGACACTGACCTTCACCATTCAGTGTAAAAAATGCAATCATGGCTCCAAGACTTCTGTTGTTCAAGCTGGAGCAGTGCTGTGAGTAAGCCTGGACTCAGTGTTGCTCCTCAATGGCTGTTTTGCTCAGCCTTAGCCTATGGAACCTGTGGAAGCAGGCCTAACACCTACCTGCTCTATCACAAGGATTGGTAATCTGTGTGCTGCAACACTGTTTGGGATTCATGATATAAAAATATATGGAATTAGTTAGAGTCACCAGAGGCAGCAGGAGATCCTGGGTGTTGTAAGGCCAGGAGGTCCCACAAGTCATTGAGAGCCGGAATCATTTTTCTGCTTCTATTTCCTCTGATCAAGATACAACCTTGGCAAAAGCTAAATACCACAGAGGGCTGCTTCATCAGATAGGCAAATGCTTTTGACAGCACGTAGACATAGACAGCTACAGCACATAAGAGAACAAATGTTCTTCTTTTATACATGCCTTATCAGCCTAAATTTGCATTTGGCACACTACTGGATGAATAACAGACATGTCTGTAAAATGTATAATGTTCATCTAAGCAGTGCCTACAAAACTTTTCTATCATATTATGACAGAATGCAATTTCTGTGTCCCACAGGTCTTGCAGGCAGCTCAAAGAAAAACATGGATATTTTTAATTCTTGTGCAATTATTACCAGACAATTGCTGGTCTAAGATCTTTTTTACAAATTTTTACTTGTTTGCTCCCAGTTATAGAAAGGAAAACTCACAAGACTGTGTTCAAGCCTGACATAAAATGCATGGTTGTTAATTTCCATTAATTGTAGTGTGATATCATTATTTATTCATTAGTTTTATTTGTTATTAAGTAAGCATTTCTAACCTGGTATTACATGCTGCATTTTTTTACATCACTTCTATTTTCAAATGCTGTATTTCTGCTGTTCAAATGGCCACAGATGATTAAAATAACCAAAACAACTTCATCATGGCACATTTCATTGTCCTATTTGTTAAGGAAACACATAGCAGAACTGACGGAAGAAATTATTAAACAAATCCCACATAGGGATTAGTCGCATCTACCACATACATCACTTAAATAGTTCCTATCATTTCACCTAGGACATTATATGTCTTTTTATACTAATCTTTTTATAATGCTGTTGAACACACAAATACTTAATTTTACTTTAATAGAAAAGATTGCTGTCCTGAGATCAATGTCTCCCGCTGAGAAAGTAAACATCTGTTTTGCAAAGCATTTTTAAAGCAGCAGGAGACCATTATCCTGTGACAACATTCTATTACAATTACTTTATTGCAGTCAGGCAAAATGAGTGATGTGCAGCAAATTTATTCTTTTTTCACATCCTGCCAAACCTTTCTGTTCTTTATCCAATGACTTCCATCTGGAGTATTGCCTGGAAGGACGGCTGGGGCTTCTGCCATTTGTCATTAATGATCTGTTGAATTACGATTGGTTTAAAGAACAAATCCGTTTTATGTTTCAGCTTCTCAGAAATAAAGTTTAGCTGCAAGGTGCAGTGGATTCACATTGGTCAGTGCTGATGTTCTGGTAGTCAGGTATATTTGAGTCCATCAGGTGTGTTACTGTCCTGTTTTCAGCTAGGACAGTTGTTGGTTTTTTTTACTTTCATATTTGCTGGTATGATGTTGTGTTTTTACTATGGGAAAAAAGCAGTATTGATAACGCACCGATGTTTTAGTTCTTGCCAGCAGTGGCTGCACAGAACCAAGAACACTATGACTTCTCATACTGACCCTCCAGCAAGGAGCTGGGGGCATGAGGAGCTGGCAGCGCACAGAATCAGGACAGCTGACCCAACCTGGCCAAAGGGACATTCCAGAGCACATGACATCATGTGACAAATGATTTTAAAACTGTGTGCAGGCACAGTTTGGGGAAAGGCTGGGCATCCATCAGCGGGGTGGTGAGCAATTTCTTTGTGCATCACTTGGTTTGTAAATGTGTACTATAATATTACTGTTACTAGTATTCTCCTTTTCTCTGCGTTTTATAGAATCATAGAATCATAGAATCATAGAATCACCAAGGTTGGGAAAGACCTAAAAGATCACCCAGTCCAACCGTTCACCTATTCCCAATAGCTCCTACTAAACCATGTCCCTCAACACAACATCCAGTCTTTCCTTGAACACCCCCAGGGTCGGTGACTCCACCACCTCCCTGGGCAGTCCGTTCCAGTGCCTGACCACCCTTTCTGAAAAGTAATACTTCCT